AACCTGTGTGCTGCTTTAGTTCTGACCAATTGTAGAACCGTTGGTTATATAGTGTGAGTCTGCTCAGTGATGTTGTTCTACCAGTCCTCCCAAAAGCCTACTGTCTCTATAGGCTGGATTATTCCCTCAAGGGCAGCTGCCCTGTTTTATACACACATTGGGTGCCAGTCTTGGACTCTGAATAAAATATCCAAATTATTTTGTAAAATTAATTGTGATTAAATTTGGAACCCATAACTTGAAATACTCTCTAGTCACCTTATGAAAATTGTGCAGTATAATAGTAGCTTCACAGTGAGGTTGACTTTGATTTCACCTGCTACAGAGGAAAGCCCTACACTCTAGAAGAGAGAGGATGCTATGAATACATTGTCATGTGATGCTAAATAGGATTTTCAGAGTAATTGACCCCGTTAAGATAAAACTATACCAAAATACGCAGTAAGAATACTTGGGTTCTAGTGCTGTGGTTATAGAAAGTTAGTGTGACATTATCTGCCTGACTTAGAGCAGCTCTAGGGATGGTGTTGGGGAACATAATAGAAAGGCTCCAAGAGACAAGTTCATGGAGAAGGTCTTTCTGATCATTTGTTGGTTGGCTTGAAGACAATTGTGATTTTATTTTAGTTTCAGTTTTAATAAAAGCACTTGTTAGATCAAATTATTTAACTGCTACCACTAAAGGTTTTTTTGCTTCATCCCTTGTGTGAAATTTAGTGGCTTTTCCCCTCTGAGAAGTCATTCAGGCTCATGAATAACCCTAAAACTGTACTTTTTTGTTTTGCCATTTGACAATCCAAATGAGCTTGTCAGAGGATCATATGAATACAGAATGAGGAGGAGGATATAAGACAGACAGCAAATACAGCAAGTAAGGACTCTCTGTCCTTGAGCCATTCCATGGAAGAGGCATGTGGGTTTGTGAATGGATTAGCAATAAACCTTGAAATGTGTTATATGTTCATTTGCACTATGTATAGTCAACATTTTATGTTTTATCATTGAATTTGCTCATAAGGTAATTAGGAAATGAAACTTAATCAACAGCAAAAAATTTAATATATTCATACTTGTTTCCATTGATATACTGTTGAGATAGTAAAAATAAAACTAATAACACCAGGAATTTCAAGCCTGTTCTGGTATACGGTATCATATATCCACAATGAGTGTCTAAACATCGATGAAAGGATGTTTGTGAGCTTTTGCTTTTGAGAGTTATTTTCTTAAGTGAATACTTAGAGATAAATCAGGAAAGGAATGGCCATTTTTGCAGGTGTTTTGTTTGTCAACTGTTTTAATTTTGTACCGGGTACTGATGTCAGAAGATCATTAATCTCTGATGTGACCTCTAAATATTCTGGCTGTGGTTTCACTAACAGGAACTTTTCTGATGTTATTCCACTGAATTCAAGTAGCCAAAGTTATTCATGTCACAGAACATCTTTGTATTTTCAGATAAATAATCGTTTCACACTTCACAAAGAACATGAAGACACCCTTCTCCACAAAGGAAGGGAGAAAGCAGGGAGGGAAAGTAGGTCCTGGTTCTCTTTTGAAAAACTGCTGGTGCTTTGGATCTCTGTCTGTAGTTCTGCAGCTTCCGCGAAGGAGAACAGAAAGTTTAATGAGGCTGACAGTCAGCTGAGATGGTGCCGAAATCTGGGGCAGGGGGGGTAGCATTTTGGTTTGTCAGTTGTTTTACATTTAGTGGGTTCAAGGGGGGAGATGTTGTTGGTTTTGTATTTTTGAGGATTGGGGGAGGTGTTGCTGATTGGGGTGCTGGGGTTTTTTCCCTGTAGCAACTGCATTGTGAACAGGATTGTGCCTTCCTAATAATCTTTGGAACTTTTTATGGCTTGTCAGAGCATGTTTCTATCCCAGTTTTGTTAGCAGCCTTCTTCAGCATACCAAGAAAGTGATGAGTAACTGTGGCAAAATAACAACGTAACTAATTAAGCCTAGTTTTCAATGGATTTGTGTCCTTTGACCTATCCATATTTTCACTGCAGTATCCTTGTCCCTCACAACCACCAATTTTCACAAAATCCGTTGAATGTAATTATCTTGGACATCTCTGGATCTGTCAAATTTAGCTTGGTTCAGTCAGTGAGAGAACAGTGCTATTTCCGAGGAAAACAAGTTAAAATACTAGCTAAGAAGTAGGGAGCTTTTCCAGACCTATTTATATTTGACATTATTTCTTAAAGGAATTCCTGTTTTTGACCAGAGAATTCTGGGGAAAAAAAATTATTAATAAAATATTTTTGGAAACAGCAAGAGGATGGAATGGGTGCTGGTTCATATTAATTTTAAATGCAAGATTGGATTTTGTCTTTAAATATACATGTGCAGTGTGAATTATATCTCTGTGAACAAAAGATCATCCCAACCATGTGAGAATGTTAATGTCAAGTAAGTTTGGATTTCTAATATTAGAAAAAAATAGAAATTTCAGTCACTCCACCTTCTTTTGTCATCCTTCTGCATCTGTGTAATGTAACATACTTAATCACGAGTAAACATAAGAAAACTATAATTTCTAATGTCTAGAAGCCATTATTTTAGTAACATAACTAACTTATCAACCTGTTATTTATGATTAAGTTGGCTTGCAAAGTGGTAATATTAAATAACTGTTAAACTTTCTTTTAATTACTGTTTAGTGCCCCAGGACTGTTGTAGTTCATTTTTAGGCACAGAAATTGAGATAATTCCCTCCAGACTGATCTTGCTGTCTTTATTTCCTGTGTAACAAGTGTGCATGCCATCACTGAATGGGGTACAATAACAGAATTATTCTGAATTTTCTTTCTTTTCCACTCTCTCCCTTTAACATAAAGAGTTAAACCAAAAAAAAAAAAGTTGTTTGTCCTAAATGTTCTTACTGAAATCCATTATGCATGAAAGGAGTCTGAGTCCATTTGCAAGACCTCTAAATGAACTCCATTCATTCTGTGCTTAGAAATGTCCATTCAGCCAGAAACAGACACAATAGTTACAACCTCATTTATTTTGCACCAATACCATCATATTAAAAGTGAACCGTTTGTTTTGAAAAAGTATAGTAATTTTTCTATGCTAGTTATATAATTCTTTAATAAAATTACTTTAGGGTTTGAATGATGTAAAATTGCCTATCTATTCTTTGCCCATAATTGCAATGTAGTAGCATTGCAGTCATCTAAAATTCTTAAACTTCTTAAAATTCTAAAAATCTCCATGAAGATTTTGAAATAGCTGTTTTGAAAATATAAGTTCACTTAGCTTGACTTATTTTCATGTAAAACAAGTTACAGAGACATCTATTTCTAGTTAGCTTGGAAATTAAGCCAATTAGTGATCATAATTAGTGGCTATGGAAAAAATAGATTTAAAGTTTTGTCTTTTCAAACATTGAAACTTTGTTTGCATTTGGAAGGTAAATTATTTATGATATGCATGTCAAAATTGTAGGAATGCAGAATTTCATCACTTTAAAATCCACGAAGATAAGTCAAGAATTCACTACTCCACATTTTGTCTGTCTTAAAGTGGAAACTGTCCCATTGTGATCAGCAGAATTTCATGATCCTCAGGGTGTGATATCAGACCGTATTACATCTCAGTTTATATGACTTGGAGTGTTGAGCAAGACTCATTGGTTTTCCTTCTAAGGTTAGGAATGAGCAAAAATGATAAGCATTTAGGAGAACCTGGCTTGCCTTACATGCAAGTGGGACTTCCATAAGTTGTCATTCTTGCATGCACTATTAAACTTGTGTGAGAAAAGTCTGCAACCTCCCACGAGCATTCTCTCCCCAGTTCAGGTGAGGGAAGCTCTCTGAAAAGAACCTGAGGTGGTTGCATTTGTGTCCTTTTCCTGCCAGGCTGGGTGGCCATTTGCATGTGTTAATTGCCTAACATGCAGATAGTGTTCAGTGTAGAAATAAATACTGTTGGAGGGAAAGAGAAAGTTGAGAGCAGATACAAACCAGAAGTCCTTTATTTATTTAGATTCAGCAGACCCTGTTCCAGTAGACTGTTCAGGACCCTTTTGAAGGCAGTGACGGAGCCATTTTCATGCCAACTACTGTTTGTGGCACTCTGGCCTTTAAGTACCAATAATCAACTTGGAAGGAGGTGACTGTGGTAGCTGACTGGAACTGACTGAGCATTTCCTCCAACAAACTGTAGAAAATACTGTTTGTGGGAAGTGTGTGAGTGAGGGTGAATGGGTGAGGGGCTCACGGCAGGAAAAACAACTAACAGGAAAGTGTAAGGAGAAACATCATCTCCTTGCTCTCAACCAGTTCTTTATCTGACAGTCCTCCTGCTGGTTTGCTTTTCCTGCTGAGTCTCCTCCTCCTTCCGTCCCCTTGACATGCAAAATACACGTCCAGTGAATACCTACACAATGACAGTAACAGCACTTTGTTACTGAAACTCCCTGCATTCTGTAACTCTTGTGTCGAGTTCCATTGTTTTGATTACTGCTGAGCTTGACATTATGTGAATCGCACCTGCAGTATGGCCTGGTCTGGGATTGTACAATGCAATAATAACTTGAAGCTACCAGGAGTTCAACAGAGTAAAGGTCTCAGGATATGCTTTCCATAAAGTAAATTGTTTTTAAAGTTGTTTGGGTTTTTTTAATATTTTCATCTGTAGATGTTACGCTTCTGTGTGAACATTAAGTAACATATACTAATTTTCCACAATGTGTGTTTTCTGTGGATGATTTTCGACCTGACTCCTTAAATCACTTCTTTACAGTTAAATGCTGTTGATTTTGATGGAGTTTTTTCTGATCGACATCAACATTCTCCCAGTTCATGTATTTTCCCAGCTTAGAGATCTGTCAGTTCACCTTTTTTTTTTTACTGTTGGGAAATGAAAATTGAATAAGAAGCGTCTGTGACCATATATTAAAAAAAAAAGAAGCAAAAATTAAGAAGAATGATAAAATATGTCCCTCATAACTCACTGCTGACAACTCACTTCTGCTTTTGTTTGTGTAGGTACTTCCCACCACGGTGGCTATTCCCACAATGCAGTGGTCCACGCATTACAAAAATGTGGCATTCGTCACATTGACACAGCAAAAAGATACGGCTGTGAATCTCTCCTCCAAAAGGCCATCAAAGAGAGTGACGTGAAGCGAGAGGATCTCTGGATAACTACCAAACTCTGGCACAGTGATTACGGCTATGAAAACACAAAAAAGGCCTACTTGGAGTCGTGTGAAAGACTTGGCATTGAATATCTTGGTATGAATGTTTACATACAGCTCATTTATTGTGCCTTCCATGTGAGTACTCACAAAGATGAATGAATTCCTGAAAAAATAGATCACAGAAACCAAGTTCTGCCTTTATTTACACATTTGCAGTTTTCTTGTTCTGTTTGTTCTCTACAAAGTTCACATGCATACAACTGAGAGCAAAGAGTTTTTTCTTGTTGCAAATGTTTTGAAACAGACCAAGGTATATTTTGTAAAGGTATATCTCATTGTTAAATTCCTTGAGGAACAACTACAGTAGTTTTATATATTTTGCTAAAAACACCCAAAAGCTACGTAACAAGGATTCATAAACTTTACAATAATATATTGGCAACAGGGTGACAAAAATGCCTGTTTTCTTCTGTGGTCTGTTTTCTTCTTCTTGAGGAGTGGGAGTCCTTTCTAAAACTTCCTTTGTAGGTCTATTAAATTTGAAATTCAGAATACTGCCTTTGGTTTGGTCTATCTGACACAATATACTTTGGGGAAAATATTAGAAGTATTTACAAGACTTTAGAAAACTGAAACTAAATCTAACTAACACTGATGCACTTTCAAATTTAACCTTATCATAAACTTCTTTTAGTAAAAAATGTGATATCGGTACTCCCTTATTAGATAGGCAAAGAGCTGCCATAGTGATGCCAATTAATTCTTTGCAACAGGCCATAAGAGAGGAGATACTTGACAAAAATAAACATGATATTTGCTTCTTCTTCCCTAGCTGAAGCAATGAGAAGAAAGTGGATGTAGAGGAAGGTGAATTTAAAGTAATAATCTAAAATAATGACACTGGTGGAGATAATCTTTATGCTGATACTCAAGAAGCAATAGACCTAACTATCAAACATTGCCTGTCAGTGTCCTGAAGACCTTCATTTTGTTTCTTTCCTCACCCTGTCCCCATTTTAGGAATAAACAAACTTTGATGAGGAAGTCAACAGCTTTTGTGAAGTATGAATTTCGCTGAATTAGTAACATATAATATTAGTGGCAACTGTGTGGTATGTTTACTGGCTTTTTTTGCTTGGGTACTTTGCAAGGTGAACAGGGAAAAGCTCTTACATCTGTTAAAGACCGATACCTGCATGCACATCTTTGGCTTCATTCTTTCTGGAAATGTATCCCTTCACTTCCTCCACAGGTACAGAATAATGCAAATTTAATTAAGATTTCTTTTTGTCTGTCCCGTGCAAATGCAGGTCACTGTAATGAGACTTTCATAAGCCAAGTTTCAAGCTTTGACTATCTCCTTTAACTTGAGAAGTAACATTATTCCTCCTCTCTGCTTTCTGCTTGTTATTTTGTGTTTGCTTTCTTTTTTCTTCTGCTTGCTCTGGTACTGGTGCTGAATGTTGATGAGAGGAAAACTTGACTCACTTCCAAGAAGTCTTTTTCAGTGATTCCTTCCAGTACTGTAAGTTGTTTTTATTTTCTCAGGTAGTAGGCTGATTGAAGTAGGTGCTCACACAAATACTGAGTTTACATATTGCTGCTAAGCAGAAATACCTGAAAGAAGGAAAGGAATATCTGAGAGCAAGAAATGCACTAATGCTGTCACCATGTGAGTGAGTCCTTGGATTGGCATAAAGAGAACTTCAGTTTGTGAGATGTGTTCAGACCTCAGACTTCTTTTGCTCATATTACTAAGGCAAACTAAGGGAGTATTACAGCTGCCTGTCCAATTTGTCTCCATACTAGATTTGATCCTTTTTTTATTCTTGTTTTGTTTTTTTAATAACCTCACTCACCTTCCCACCTTGCTTCCACTGATATGGAGATGTCTGAAAGATTTCTAAAGCTCTTCCCAAACCACTTAGTCTGCCATAGTGACCTAAATCAATGCAGGCTTCAGCTTGCTTTAACTTGACAGTTTGTGAAGTGTGATGGCTTTGGAAATACTTGACAGGCAAGTCACTGATCTGTATATGAGGATGGTGACCACCATGAGAAGGATGGGATGGCAAGTGGAGCAACAGTTTTGGCTACTGGGGTTTAATCTCTCTTGTACCAACTCCACAGTTTCTATTAAGCACAGTGTGATCTGCACTGCTCTGAGAGAGATAAGGCTGAGTTCCATCTTTTGTGCTGTTTATGCTGGGAACTAGACCCTCAGAGGAGGTACAATACCTGGAGTGTTTCACGGGTTCATGGAGAGCATCCTTAGGGAGTCCTGTACCTCCTGTCTGAAAGCACTCAGCTGGAAGGTGCTACTGGAAGGATTTTCAAGCAAAATGAGGCAGTACCTTGAAATATGAACCTTTCAAGTTTTTTCAGGAATGCTTAGAGTAAGAGCTTTCTGTTGGAAATTGAGGCTTATCACAAGTCCAGCAAAAGTAATTAGAATCCAGAAGATTGGTTTGAATATAAGGCTATAAGCTTGTAGAAATAAGGTCAAGATATCTGTTTTCATTCATATCTGCCTTTTGTGTCCCTTTTCTGCTGACCAGTCTGTACCATAGAGAGGACCTAAAATCCATGGCAAAAAGAGATCTGGTAATAACAGGGCAATTTGTGCCCAAGCTTATTTAGGAAAGTAAATTCTTTAGTTGCAAGCATGTGTTAATGCTGGCAGTTTTTCTGTAAAACAGGAGTGTGAAATAATGATCAGAATAAATCAGAATTTCCTGATTTCATTCTATGATATTAACCATGTATGGTTAGTTCACAGCATTTCTGTAGATACATGGTTCTCAAAGAAAACCGAAATATCCTAAATAAAAATCTTTGATGTTAGATCTTTATGTTGTAGGAAAAGTTAGTAATTCAGAAGACTACAGAGAGAAGAAGCTGCAGGAGTCCTGGCAGCTAAATGTTCAGCTCAGCTTTTTGTTCCTGTTCCTGTTAATTTTCTTGAGGATCCTTATGGATTACACAGTCCATCTATACAGACTGAATTAGAGACCTGGGAAGTAATCTCACAGGAGTTAATAAATCTGTGCATTATCAGTATATAGGCTGCCAGCTGTTGAAACAGATGAATTGTTGAAAGCAGTCACAGCTTTTTAAGAGAAAAAGTACTCCATGTAAAATATGTGTTATGAAGCCTTTTCAGTAAACACTTTTGAGGCAAATGGTACTAGGAGAGCAGTGTTCCAGGATTTTTATTTGAACTGGTAGATTATATATCCATGATGTGCTGGAACTTTGTATTATTTGTGGGCAGTGGTTGTAATAGATATTCTGCTCCTTGCATTTTCTAAATGTGGTCCTCAACTAGCAGACACAGTAAACCAGTATGAAATGGCAGCAAATCTTACAGGTTTGGCAGTAGCAGAATACATTCCTTGGTGTTTGGATCTAACCTCCAAAATAACTTCTTGAATGTGATTTGTGGGTTACGGAATTCATAAACAATTTTATTTTCCTTTTGACTGTTCGAGTTTGTCCCATTCAGGCAAATCTGACCTATCACAAATCCCCAACTGGAGCTGGACAAATGCACTCTCAGCATATTCAGTGTAATAGATGAATCACATGGAATGGGTGTATTATCATAATTCAGGTTCTGTACTGCTTCAAAACACTTCGGGTTTTCTTTTTCACATTGATCCTTGTTCAATGGAACAAAACAAAAAAAAATACAAAAGATTGAGTGGGAGAGAAAAACACATCATGTCAATACTAAGTACAGTGACTATTGAGAAAAGGAGGGAAAATAATTGCATTAAGATAGCTGGGAAACATTGAAAAATATTCTTTCGCTTTTAGATGTGATATAAGACAGGACTTGTTCTTCAAAACTACATTTGTTTTAGTCAATGTGGACTTTTTTTTTATATTGTATTAAGAATTTCAATAGAATTGCAAACTTTATTTCCACAACAACATGCTGTTGGCTTTTAAACCTACTTTTCAGGGCCATTTGATTGTTGATTGTAGGTGCTGCAACCGCTAAGTAATAAGCCATTCTATTTTAAATGTATGTGTGAAAGCAGCACTGTGCCTTGACATTTAAATGAACTTCAGGCCTTCGCTTACCACTGCACCATTGCAGATTGATTTTCTTCAGAGGATGTTTTAAAAAGGTGTTAAGTAAAAAAACTGAATGTTTGGATGTTTTTTTCTTCTTTCTCAAGTGCATCCTTTACTGTGAATCATGGTGGATTTTTCAATTTAAGATTATTTTTGAAAAATATATGGTTGGAGGACATCTCAAGGTGTTAATTTAATCTTTCCCATGCTACAAAGCACAACCCCATCGTTCTCAATACATAAAAATGTAGTCTGTTCTTAAAAACCTTCAGTGATAAAATAACACATTTCTTGATTACTAAAACCTTGAGCTATTTCAATAAATGATTTAAAACTAATTTCTTGCCTCCAAAATGAATTAAAGAGTGTTTGTGTTCTCATAATCTCCCAGGAGGGGAAATACTTTAAGCAAAAGAAAGTGTGTGTGGGCGTAGGGTGTGAATGTGTGTACAAATAAAGATGAAATCATAGACCTGGGTTTGTGCAGGGCTTACTGTTTTTGTTGGCCTGCAGGTATCATGCAAAGTTTTCTAAGAGATGCAGTAGAAGAAAGCAGATCCTGGCTGTGCCGGGGGTGCTTTACCCATGACTGGCACAAAGACTATTCTGCTCATTATCTGTGAGATAAGGGACCTTTGCCCCACATCTTTGGGGAAAACTTCTTGCAGTCCAGAAGAACTGTGCTTTGTGATCCAGTAGAGGCTTTCTAGCCCTAAATGCATATATTTCTAAATGTGAAGTAATTTTTATTTCAACAAAACCGCTAAATTAAAATAAACGTAGTAGGATGATATAGACATCACATACCTGGTAACATCACCTTTCTAAAATAAAGGGTTAACAGCTAATCATGTTTGCACTGAAGAGGCCTAAGACACTAGTACAGGGAGGGCTGACGTGTTGCATTTTTTTTTAAATGTCCAAGGCCAGAGATCTTTCAGTTATCAAATCTGTTAAGTCTTTTTTCTTAGAGTGCTTGAGTTTCTTGGACTGAGTGCAATGCATCTCTGTATATGGAAATCCATGATGTAGCTATTTCTGTGAGCATTTGCAAACTGTCGTGTCCAGCTGAATAATCAGGCTTTTGGAGAAGTAGCTTTTGGTGAAATTCTGCTGAAGTTTGATTATTTTTGCTAAATGATGTGTTTCTGCATACTTAAGCAGTTCTTACTAGTCTGGTTTGGAGAACATAGCAAGCAGCAATTAAAGATACATAATTCCATTTTTATGTGAGGTAGGCATCAGATACCAGTAACTTACACCTACTTACATGTGACATTTGCTTTATCCAAGCAAAAAAGTTTAAATTCAAACATGGCAGTCTCTGTGCAGTAAGTACCACCAAAGGCATATAATTTTGGATCAAACCAAACACTTGATATTAGCAGTTCCTAGTGCTAATCCTTGGGTTTACGTCTAATATAGATCAATGGAAATTTCATTGGCAACAGAATTTAAGTAGCCCTGACTTTTGATCAGAACCTCACCAAATGCTTTATTAGTTCCCAGTATTAGTTTTCAGTTAAATGTCACAGAAATTGGTATTTATTCCAATAGCATGTATTGGTATTTATTTGTATTTTAATAAATACAAGTTGTTTTCTCAGAGCAATTAGAGAAGAAGTAATTATTCGTGCATTGGTGATGAATAAGACTGCATATGGAATTGGAAGTGGATTTTATGTATATAAGGGCAAAGAATAAGCAACTTTCTCTTTAAATGTGATGCAAATTCAGATGCTCCAGATCATTACATATGAGTGATATTTGCTTCCCTGAGCAATTGTATTTAAAAGTCTAATGTGTTATTAATATTGGAAAGTGCAAATTTAGCTTGTGATTTTTTGTGATACATCCAAAGTAATTTTTTTCTTCATACAATTGTAATGTATCTTACTGTACAAAACTCTGTACTGTTCTAAAATTTGTAATCCAAGTAAAGTACTCTTTTTAACAGTGTTGCAGTGATGTGCCAAAATTGGAACTGGTGTATTATAGAGAATTTCAAGTTACCTTTTCCTCTTAAATTGAGGTTGAGTTTGTATTTTTACAGGTGGAAAACTAATATACCAGCCCACTGGTATAGTAATCATTAGTGCAGTCCTTAAATGGGAATAAAAAGAATTATTTTTCTTTTTTTTCCCGCCTTTTTTCATTATTCACAAAGCAGAGGATTTGTATTTTCTCAAAGAGGTGCTGTAAATGAATGGTGTGATGTATTCAAAGAACAGAAACCTCTTCTCACTGAAACAAGTTGGAGGTTTTTTTATTTCTTAACTCTGTATTTGAACTGCCATAAAAGGAATATTATAAAGTACAAAGAAAATGGTGTACATCTCAGTCATCTCTTTATTTTCTTTTGCTGTTTTTCATCAGACTAATGTATGCAGCAAAGGCCAAAACCTGTTTGACTGGGATGCCTACTGTTTAATCTGGAGTTGGAATTTAAATAGAAATATAATTGTTTTCCAAATATGTCTTAAATTTCTCCTTCAGAATGTCTAACAGTGTCTACAAACTTATGAAGGAGTTTAGGTCCTGTCATTTTTGCAGTTTACATAATCTCATTTGAAACTCTGAGTCCGATACATGTACATTTCTCACTTTAATTTATGTGAATTTCTGCTGCCCTTGGTTGTTAATGAGATGTTATAGAATTCATTTATTAAAACTAAATGGATGTGTGCAGTAATGACCATGGAGTAGTATTTGTAACTATTACAGTGATAATGTGTTGGGGCCATTATGGAGGGAAAATGCTGTTTCACATGATTTGATAGATTTATTTTTTGCACACTTTACTGACCAGTCTGGTTCTGTTTCTGTTTTAGATCTGTATTTAATGCACTGGCCTGATGCATATGTTCTGGGTAAAAGCAATCGAGAGGTCCGAGCTGAAACCTGGAGAGCAATGGAAGAACTCTATGAGAAAGGTTTTTCTTGTTACATCACTTATCTCAACAGAAGGAATTATTGTGCACTTTGGGATTTGGGGAAGTCATAGTGAGAGATGTTCAAAGCTTAATTTGAACTGGGTGCTCATATTTCAGTGGAATTTGTGTGTGTAAATTATGAGAGTCTCTTTGGAAATTGCAGTGTTCCTTGTAAATAATACATTGTCAAATTCTGTCCACAACATCAATAATGGTGTGCATACTTTCTGAGGAAACCTACTGATTGCATTAAAATCTATATGCCACTATAGAACACTTTTGAACACTACAGAACACCTTTGTAGTAACCTCCTCTGTGTTAAGTATAAATCATGCCAAGTTTTACTTCTTTTAGATTTTTTTTTGATTGTATGATGCCATTTTCCAGTTTATTGTGGTATTTTGTAGTTCCATTTGTGTTTTAGAAAATGTTCAACAAAAGAAAATGGCTAGATGAGGAGCAAATACTGAACTGCAGATTCTTTCCTACTAACTTTTGGAAAAAATTTCAAAGAAGGGAGCTATTTGCTCAAGTTCTGATAACTCAGTTTTTGGTGCATTGCAAACTTCAATTTATGTTCATAGCAATAGGAAGAGTAGACTGTAGATTTACAAGGAGGATTTTACTCCTGAAGTATGTAGAATTATTAGAAATGGTGTCATGAGAGAAGATCCTGTCGTGCAATTTTTGGCCTGTTTACAGCTTCAGAGAAGCTCCACAGCTGGGGAGAAGACTTCTTGGAGTAAGTAGTCTAACACTAACCCAGAGTTACTGAAGTAGTGATTGCAGCAGGAGAGTTGCACAAAGACAATTACAGGCTGTGTGTCACTGCCAGCTTTATCAGAGCCATAAACCAACTTCTCCTCTTACACTTCAACCCTTTGTTTACTTTTGCTCTGCCTCTGGAAACGCAGAAGTGAATTATCTTTGGTATATCTTTTGTTCTTGCTTTTTGTATTAAGCGTAAGGGAAGGTGCCAAAAGTGTTTTCTGCTGTGTAAGGCATTACAACATTCAGTTTTTAAAGAAATGCTGCACTGACCTGATACTTCAAAGCATCAATGACTCTTACATCCAAAAATGGATTATTCCACAAGGTATTTCATCCTTCCATTGAGAAGGTTTTTTTCTCAAGAATACTTAAGGTAGTGCATGTCATTTGTGCCTAGATATGGCATCTTAATTTGCTGCAAACAGGTTGTATTTTTCACATTCTATTATTATTCCTATCGGCTTTTTTCTGCTTTTCTATATGTCTTTGTGATCTTTCCTGTCTTGCACAACTCTTTCTTTCTCTATATATCTTCCTGATGGGAAAGAGTATGAGTTATTCAGTGGTCTTCTAAGTAAGACACTGGAAATACTACTCCTGGCCACGCAAACAGAGGGAAAATTGCTTTTAATTTTTGTTCCTATGCATGATAACTCTTTACAGACATTCCATGTTATATTTATTTTTCCTGAAGTTGCATTTCTTCAACAATTTTGTCAATTTGCATGTTGTTACCCTCAGTCTTTTTCTGAATTTAAACATTCTGTAGACTCATGATCTGTTTAGCTGAGCATGAGTTTTCCAGCTCTGGTTGTCTAAATTACCTCAGTTAGATCATATACAGGGGAAGGAAAATTTAATAGTCTTGTTGAGTCAAGTGCCTTAAAACATTAATTTCCACACTTTTGCTTTAGGGCATGCAGACTCTGGATGTCCTGACCATAAGTATGTGTTACGGAAATGACACTCAGACATTAACCACTCTGGAGTTGGAAATGCAATGATTCCTGAGCAAAATGTTAAATAATTTGTTTGCATGGTTAACCACTAGGTTTTCCACTGAAGATTAAACACTTGCTGCATATCTTTGTGACTTGCTATGTGTTACGTGAGCAACATGTTAGCCTTAGTATGGACTCAATGGAGGATTTGGTCAAAGTCCTTAATTGAGGAAAAACATAAAATCTTCTTTTATTGGGGGCAAACTTGTAAGTTCTTTACTAAATAGATGAGTTCTTTGTCTTCTCTGAACTTGACATTGGTTCAGGTAGTCACTGGTTCCTGTTTGCAATTCTGTTACTTTTATTTTTTTAAATGTTTATTCTGGAAAAAAAAATGAGTAGAAACTAAACACAGGATTGAAAATTTAAACAAGTAATGTGCTTCTACAGTCAATTCACAAAGGTAATATTGAAGTGATTGAAACCCACTTGCCTAGTGGGTTTAGCAACTAACTGCATCCACACTGAAGTGTGTCTGAAAGTGCAGAGAATAATGGCTGTTCTCTATAGAAAACAAATTAGTTTGTGTTATGGAACTGATAATACTTTTATGGTACAGAGCTGTCTGCAAGAGACTTATGAGATGGTTAAAAGATGTCTATGTTGACCTAAGGCTTTGATCTGGCTGAATTTAACAAGATTTTCTTTAATCACTTCTCTGTATTCACAGATGGTTTGAGTGCAGATACTTGTAAATCTCATTCTTCAACTTCAATTTAAATCCAGGTTAATATTTATTCTGCAAAATTCTACTTACCTGGGGCAAGAAACATTATTTTAAAGTAATGTAAATTCTTAATAGTCGATTGTTATGATCAGTTGCCCTAGGAGTAGAGTAAATTAACTGCCAGTACTCAAGACTGTAAAAGTCTTTAATGCAGACTTTTTTTTTTCAAAGATTATTTAGATTGGTTACATTGGTCAGAAGTGGACACAAGAAACTGGAAATATGGACAATTTAAAATGAGAACCTGAAGAGTATTTGTTAGTGATCTGGTTTCTCTCTGGGGTTGATTATTTGCCGTACTGCAGTTTTGGGCTGCACTCCTTGGATCCAGTGTGCTTTGGAAACTAAACAGAACTTGGTTACTGCCCCAAGGATGGAGTCCAAGGAATACACTTGAAAGAAGTTTTCATGTGTTAGCACTCCCACCCTTGTGCTTGAAGCCACCATTCAATTGCCTAATTCAACTAAGCAGCAAAACTTTAGGTCAAGAACAATTTCTTGGGCATTTTTCTTGAGATTTTTCACAAGGGAGACTTCCACTGATCAGCCATTGCAACTTCTTTGTATTGAGAATTAGGAATGGGGGAGGAGAATTATTATTTTCTTTACTGGTTTTAGAATTTTAGTAGGTATGTGAAAGTATAGGATAAAGGCAGAGAACTCTAGACATATGTCTTTGTTTAATAGCCTTGCTTGTGTTTTCCTTTAAAGGCTTATGGGATAAACAGCACTTAGGGAAAAAGAAGGAAAAAAATTCTAAAACTTGGTCACTGAGACATTTGTGTATAATAACTGGTTATTTCTGTTGTAACAGCTGAAATCAACTAGGATTCTTGTAATATCAAGGCTATGGTTTGAATTTTTGTGGTCTCAAAATTGTTGTTTTGGGGAATTATCCTCTCCAATACCTCAGAACAGAGGCCAGGCTCCCTACAGAATCCATTCCAAGATACATACATTGAGTCATATATTCCCTTGACAGCTGCAGCATTCTTGTATAGGCATTTGTGTGCTGGCAGATGAAAGCAGTGTGGCAAGCTGCTTTGACATCATGAATAGTCATTATATGTGCTCACTGGTAATTGGTCTGTTCCTAGCAAAGTGACCCTTTCCATATGCAGCGTCTTTAATGACCTTGATTCTGGCATTGTGGCTAGCCCATCATCTTGGAAAGCTTTTCATACACACATGCACATGATTACTCGTCCCTCTATCTAAAAATGCTGGGAAGAATGCGGGCTTCCAGCCAGCTTTTGCCTGAAGTTGGCAAGAGTGGTAACGTGGTGGTTGTTCTGGGTTCAGATCCCGCTCGGACTTGCTGCCATTTTACTAAGAGTAGAATTGCTTATCTTTTTCATGTTAGCAATGCAGCTTATGCTGAGATGAAATATCCTTACTTACCTCAGAAATTCCTTAACATGTTAACATATGTTTTTGTTATGATTATGTGCATGATTCAAAGAGAGTCTTATAAAGAGACAGAAATTGTTTAACCCAATAATTAAAGCCGTGTTACTATGTTCTTGGAAAAAGATTATGTTTTGCTTAATTCCAAGTGAGAGAAGAAATCTAACCAACCTTAATAATATTCTTGTCCTCCTCATTGTTGGGCACAGGCGAGTTCAATCATCATCTTTTCTTTCTCCATTTTCTATCCATTCTTAAAGGTACGAGTGAGGTTTCAGTGAACCAAATACAATTTTTTGGGTAGGTGGCACAGATTTCTAGCACATCGTTTGCCGGATGGCATATTCTGCTCTTATTCTACTGAAAAATTACTTTAAATCTATATGTATATTGTCAAATGATGAACAACTGACAATTCAAACTGTTGTGCTGCAGCTCCACAAAATGTTTGCCTCAGGAGTGTTTATGTTGGTAGGAATCATATGTGTATGTGTGTTCATAAGTTGCGCTAAAGTTCTGATAAGTAAAAGCAAGTAACTAATTTGCCTAGCAACACTTCTTTTTCACATTGTGGATAGTATTCTGTCTGTACAGATGAAGATGTCTCGTGGGCTTGTTATTGTCAGAAACACAGTTCAAAGATGTGTTTTCATGGGTTGGAGGTGGTTGCAGTTGGTGAGGATGTTGGTTGCACCACACCCTGTTGATCAGATAAGGCAGCAATAAAGACGTAGGAAAAAAAATCGCTACACTTATTTATGTTAAAGATCATAAAGAAATCTTCATCATTTTCAGTATCTTATTTAAAAAAAAAAGAATTACCATAGAAGAAGTCCTTTTGGTGCAGATGTAAAAGTGGGAATTAATCTAAACGTGCATTAATGTCTATGCTCATTTGTTTTGCTCTTTTTTCTTTCTTATGTTAACTTCATGGGTAATTCTATGTGTAAAAATAAGCCCTCAGAGGACATTGTTTCATGATTTATTGCAGTGTATGATTTGAGCCTTTTCTACTAGCAAGCAAATCCTTTTTGTCAAAGCTGTAAATAAGCAAGCTAAGCAAGAAGATTTAAAGCAAATGTACACATTTTTG